AATTATGCTAAACTCACTCTCCAGAACATGAGAGATTTGATAATAATTTTAATGTTTATATTTTTGATTTACTAAGTGAAATATGACTGTTTAAAGACCCCCTCCCAGCCATTCAAGTAAAACGTGAAAACTGCCCTAAACAACAATTGCAGCTTAATTTCTACGATACAATTGGTTCATCAATATCGAGATCTGAGCAAAGGAATTATTCTTTGTCATTTTTAAATACCTGTTTTTCAGATGATTAGGTCGAATTTTCTCCAACTTAGAGCATTGTAGCCACCCTTGGACTTCCGGTACAAAAATTGTCCTCAATGCATATGATACGTTAGGCAATGTTCAGGCGTAATGTAGTGAATTTCTGCACCAGGAACTCTCCATCATCTTTACATTGAAATTTTCAAGCTAGATCAATAGAAATGCGTACGCAAGCCATTTTCAAAAAGCCTTAGTATCGTTACGAGTACCCAAAGGAAAGTTTTTTTGAAATATTGCTGCATTTTACTGATTATCAGTCAAATCCCTTAAAACTCCATAATATTGCCAAATAAATTTTTAAACATGCAATTTTTGATTTCTGTTAAGCAGACTCAGACTTGACTTCCGGTTATGGTATGAAAATCGTTTAAGAGTAAAATTGCCGATATTTACCAAACTGAAGATATCTATAATTCTAAAATACAAAATTCGTTACTTTACATAATTAATCCCCGTAAAGTAGGGTGTTACGTTTCTTTTGCGTGTCAGTATACTAACGAATTTAAATGCTTACTTTGATCGAGGTTGTTTAATTCTTACTTGCCAGTAGCTAGCCTCGGTTTTGAAAGTGAGAGAGGTTGAAGAAAGCAATAAAGGGCTACAGTATCCTAGGGCAATTCATGAATATTCCTGCCATAGCTCAAAAGCATTTTCATGGAGAGTACATAAACAGTAAGGAATTCTACTCATTCTGCAGGGTGTTTGCAACCACAGTTTAAGACAGAAACAAAGGTTTGCCAGGAAGGGTGGACGATGCATATGTTTTTGCAAATTCAAAAAAAATTATCTCAGAGGAAATAATGGCTCCTTATTTCCAAAGTGGCAATGGAGAAAGCCATCTTGGGAAAGTACAAAGCACGGGGGTCAAGCGTGTCCTTTTAAAACTTGGCTTGAAAAGCCATACACTAACAGATCTACCTTACGAAACTCGATTCACTTTCATCTATCGTTTAAGTAGAGCAAGGATGACCATTAAAAATCAAAATTTTTAGACCTTTCATATCCACGTTTACCATGCAGCTGATATTTTACAGCTAATTTTATGCATTTTATAGGCTACAACAGTACCAACGCTTAAAATGGAGATTTTTTCAATTAACAATACGAAATTCTTACACAAGTAAAATGGCTGTGTGTTCATATGATAGAATTTACATATGAGAGCTAAACATTTGCAACAAAATATATGCAAAAGTTAATTTGCACCTAGTCTTGACCAGGTGCAAATTTACTCAACTGTATAGAATTTACATGTGAGGAAATCAGTTCATACTACAAAAATTGTACATGTATGTAAATTTGCATATATGTAAATATACCGAGGTATGCAAATTATGTCGTATGAATGGGGTTTTAAAAGACAACAAATATTTACTTGAATTGCATAATAATTATTATGAATAAAAAAAAAATGAAAAAAAAAAATGAGAATGTCCCCATGAAGACGGCTGTGATCTAGTGTTTATCCCCAAGCCCCGCAATTTCGACACAATTTGATCCTCCGAGGCCATTGTCCAGTTTGACATGAGCTCAATGGTCAATCCAGCTTGAACCCAGTTAATAATGAAGTTAATTAAGGGAAATTCATACTCTAGATCTGTCACGGGTTTTTTTTCGAAGTGTTAAAAAAATTTTGATTTCAGTTCTTCCAAATTTTCAACGTTATCGATCTAATATGTAGCTTAGCCACGACGCTTCACAAAATTAATTCGCTGTAAAAGTATTTAGCTCAAAATGTAGTTAATTGTAGATTCCCACCATTCAAAGAAAGTAAAGTTTATCAGTTTCATTTATAATCCCTTTTCCTGCTGCAAACACAATTTGTGTATTAATAACTGAGCCGTTTTCTCTCAGAACATAGATAATACTATCCAGTTCACTACCAATTAAGTACATGTAACCCCCCGTTCATACATAGACGCCGCTTCTACTGCGATCAAAGTGTGGTCGAAAGCGTGACCGATCGTGACAAATCGCAGGAGGAACGTCGTGGGGTCGTCAGAAGCGTAGTATGATCGCAGTAGAGTCTTCATGATCGGATAGCTCTACGCTCTCACCACGCTTATTTTGAACATGTTCAAAACAAGCGTAGCGGGATCGTGGCCAACAAGAATCGGGGTGAAGTCGTAAAAAGGGCGTAGTAGAAGCGTCGTAATCGTACAAGCAGCGCGGAAGCATCGTAGAGAGATCTTCATGATCGAGAGAGCGTAGGAACTTACCATGCACGCTCATACAACGCTTCCTCTACGTTCGTGCTACGTTCTCACTACGATCTCTCTACGTGCCTGATGATCCTACGAAGACCTACAATGACCTTACGCCGATCATATCACGACCTATCAGACAAGAGTTTGTTCTTATACCGCTGATATTTGACCAATCATCATCTGTTAACTACATGTAAAGGGTGACACTATACTTGATGATCATTTACTATTGAGCATTTTCACATCTTGTTATAACAAGAAATCTGTGAGCCAATGCTCACCAGTAATACCCCCGTTCTGTTGTAAATAAGCACTATCATGTTAATATACTGTTTACAAAAGTTCAATTACAGGCATATGAAGTTGACATCAGATTCATATCAAAATTAATCCCACCATATGACATGCCTCAACAAAGTCGGTAAAAGAATTTCAAGCATCTGCTATGAATAGCTAATGAGAAAACTGTGACGAAAATTTTTTATGTATGAAACGGACAGACACACAGACAAACAGGAAGTTGACATCGGATTTAAACAAAAATGTATCCCACCATATGGCATGCCTCAGAGAAGATTGTGTTAAAATTTCAAGCATCTACGATGAGAAGTCGCTGAGAAAACAGCTACGAAGAGTTGTCATGTATGAAATGGACAGACGCACAGACAAACAGGAAGTTGACATCGGATTTGAGCAAAAATGTATCCCACCATATGGCATGCCTCAGAGAAGATTGTGTTAAAATTTCAAGCATCTACGTTGAGTAGTTGCTGAGAAAACTCTGACGAAAATTTGTTTCGGACGGACACACAGACAGCTAGATGGACAGAGAGACAGACAGACAGACAGACAGACAGACAGAAAAGGGTAGAACAGTATACCCCCCTCTCCTTCGGAGCGGGAGTATAATAATTGAAATGCCCTAAACCATGTGGTAAAGGCCGGAAAAAGAACTGCGGTCGCAAAATATGTATCATCGCTAAAAATTGTACTAAAAAAATCTGCAGTTTCAAGATATATTTACATCATCACCAAAATCGTACTAGAAGCGTAATGCAATCGTAATATGATCGGCACCACCGTAGCGACATCGCGGTACAGTCATCTAGGTCTGTGTAGCGTCGTAGTATGGTCTTCAATGTCGTAGTGGCAGCGTAGCGTAAACGCACTAAACACGGCTGCTTGTCGGCAACGGTCTGCGTAACATCGTAGTAGAACCTTGTTAGCAGCGCGTTTGACGTAGGGACATCGTAGTACGGTCGTAACGAAGACCATAATTTGCCAAATTGCTCTATTTTGACGCCGATCGGCTGCTATCTGCCCCGATCCAAAAAAAATTTCAGATCGTGGCTTGATCAGGACGATCGCCGTAGAGTCGCAGCTCTGTGTGAACGGGTGGTAAGGTCCTCCACGTTTTCTACGAAGATCGAATTTCTATAACATCAGTATCGGTTTCATCAAAGTTGAGCTTTCACTTTTGAGAGGCTAAGGATGGTATTTGTTCTCATTCAGTTGAACAGTGCTGTCTGACAACGCTGGCTGGAAAGTCTTTACTAGATTTTCTTTTTGTAACAAGGGGTCCGTTTTCGGCCCCAAACTTTACCGTGGCTGCCCGAACCCTTGAGAATGTATTGCAAAATTTTTAAGGTTTCTTTGATCAAGGTGCTTTTAGCGAATCTTCTAGGTTTTTCAAATATTTTATGGGCATTCTCATTTGCCCCGAAAGCAATTCTGCTCCTAAAATATCAGATATGGCTCACATTTTCTTCGGGAAAAGGTTCTGTCCTCTAATGAATTAAGTATGTTGATCTTTTCAAGGGATCTCAATGAAAACTGGGTGAAAACTAATGCAAATCAGTTATTAATCCGTATTTCTAAATTGGCACTTAAGAAAAATATGCTTGGCATCTTAAACTTTTAATTTTTTTTCTGATTTAGAAGCTTACTGGCGCCTAAATATCAAAATCCTCTTCGAGGCCTGAATCAGAATAATATTACAAAAATAATTATCAGTTTCTTAGACATGTGACCTCTATTTGAACACGAAAATAAAGCAGATCTTCGAGAATACATTCTTTTTACTCTTTTTATGCAAAAGCCAATTAAAGTCACATTCGTAATACATTCTGCTGCCAATTTAGGTTATTATTGTGCAATATTTCTTTGTTATTTTTTGGCCACTTCAGTATTAGCCTACGTTATGCCTAAGGGATAGATAAGTGGCATGGATATATACAAAGCAAATATTTGATGCTTGGTGGTCTCTGTTCTGCTTTTTTTATGTTTATGCCAGATAAGACGAAAAGATTTGAGGGTTTGTTAAAGATTTGACTTCAATACTCACTGTTGTTAGTAAAATTAATGCGACTATCTTTGGTATATTACCCGTTTTTCTTTAAGATGTATGCTTAATTTGTAATATGCTATAGGAGATTAGAGAAAATAAATTCTTAATATAAAAATTATTGCAGAAAATTAAATGTCTTAAGGAATCTTACATCTATCATTAAAATTTATATATAACATATCATTTACTTTCTCATCCAGTCTTTTTGATTCTCCAGGAAGGGGTATAAAAGGCTCGCTTAACATGGAATTTTCTGTAATAGAATACGATAGATCTGAAAATCAGCTTAGATTCATTTGAAATAAAAATTACATGTATCAATTCAATAACGTATATTTTAACTGAAAAAATACAATTATTGTATTTTTGCAATTGTGGCAACTTTTTTAACATTATTTTTTTTTTACAGGCAAAGAGAAGCACTTTATTTTCGAATCGCTGAGAGATAAAAATTATATTTTCTTTAACAAGCATTCTAATAGTACTGAATAAGCGATACTCAGTAAGTGTTCCCTACCGGGACATTCTTTTTTATTATATACCCAATGTGTATCACTCAATTTTACTGATAATTAACTTCATGCAATCACGTGTCGTCGTGTTCCGACTTTCCGGATCACCATACTGTGGTTTTCTGAATCCATATCACCACTCTCTGAAACTGATTACGTTGTACGCAGAAATATGACGCTATTTTTCTTGCGCGTTAAAAAGTCCTTTGCTGTAATGCTTTGTTTATTCGATTGATATTATACCATTGATCTCTTAAGGGTTATTCTAATAAATTTAGCCAGTTAGAGAGGGTATTTAATAAATTTATCATTATAACAGTAACTTGATCCGAAGAGCCGTATCACGCCTCGTGGACAAGCGCGGATCATCAGATCAAACTCGACGCTTCGCGTCTCGTTAGACGTGATGATCCGCGTCTGTCAACTCGACGTGATACGACCCTTCGGATCAAGTAACTTTTATATATATATATATATATATATATATATATATATATATATATATATATATATATATATATATATATATATATCGTAACGATGCCATTTTATATGAAAAAGTGCCCCATAATGTGGATATTTTGTGAACGATTAATTCATGACTAAAATGTGTTGGAAATAAGTCGACCGTCCTTACAAAGAAAAACGCGTTTGAATGCCATTAGATATCGTATATGCTTTGATGAGAACAGCTCATCTGTATGGCTAAAATACAATTTTATAAATTTTATATGTACATGTATTATATATACAAGCGCAAGCGCCCTCGGGTGACAACCCTACTCAGACGTTATAAAGTTAGGGATGACTCCCTTCTAAACAGTCCATAATTGTATATTGTCAGCAAAAACAATTTATCAATGAGTCAAATGCTGTCTAACGTTTTCTTCAGGCCATTATTATACACTGAATTCGAATTGTCGACGGATTTTTCAGTTATTTCCCGGTTATTTCGGGAATTTTTTATTATCAGTTATTTTTGCATGACAAGGAGCACAACACGGTGACTTTGCTTTGCTACAAATTTGTATTGTTTAGTAGACTTTTGACCTTGAATACTGTTCGTTATCTCCATATATTTCGTTATAAGTGTGGCGCAAACTACAGTACCCGCATCGTTATTCTTTACAGGATACACGATACGATAGGATACACGCACGATACGATAGGATACACGCACGATACGATAGGATACACGCACGATAGGACAGGATACACGCACGATAGGATAAACGCAAAACACGATAAACGCAAAACACGATACACGCAAAACACGATAAACGCAAAACACGATAGACCTGATAAACGATTTACACGATAGGATAAACGCAAAACCTGATAGGATTGTTTCAAAATACGGAACGTTTTTTGACATGACGAAAATATTATTTTGAATTTAATTTAAAGATTAAAGATTATTTAAATTAAATTATATTTTAATTTAAATACTCTCAGAGCTTCAAATCTAAACTATAAAGTAAATTTAATTATAAAAAGATCCTGAGATCTCTGAATTAATTTTACAAAAGTTGTTTTTTATTTATATAAAAATTGACAGTGATTAAATGGATTTTTATAAAATGGAGACTGTATTTTTTTTTTAATTTCTTCTCAAGTGTGTGACTTTTGAAACTCTATAAACAGATTTATTATTTTTGAATGAAAAATATACAATTTAATTTTTCTATTTAATAAATTTATCTACAACTACCAAGTTGTTTCACGGAAGAAATTTACGCAATAAATTAAATATTTGTATTAAATGTCTAAAGCTTACAATCTGCGATGTATCCAAAAATCGCAATTAAATATTCATATCTTAGAAAAAAATACAAGTTGGAGACCAGCCGAAAGAAAGGTTTAAAGAAAACGGCTTTAACAAAATTAATAAATTCAACATGATAGATCTATCAAGAACGAAACAGTTCAAGAAAACTAAATTTTCTGAATAGAAGTCTAAATAATTATTAATAACGGCGATCTGCATTAATATATGTAAACTGTGTCATGAGAAAATGAATCTGCTACAACTGCACATGTACGTTTATGTACATGTAGACATTTTACATTACAGATACTTAAAACCTCGTATTTATTAACGAACATTGAATGGTTAAATACTTTCTTCTTTAAAATACAAAATAGGAAAAATAATTAACAAATATTAAAAGAGTGAAATTCGACTTTCCGACTAAATAATTATAAATCATTGCTATTAAATTCTGAGTGTACTGTTTCTAATAATAACGAAAAATAGGTTTAATTACGCACAGGAATTATTAAACCTTAAAAATAATTTTACACTGACCCGGTAATCTCATGTAAGACATATTCGAAGTGCGATATTTTGAAAGTCCGCAACCAATTTAAACAAGATCTAACCAAACAGCCAAATATCATATTGAATTCTTAAATAAAGTTATATACGTATGGAATAAAATCGATAAATACTATAAATTGATTCGGTGTATCTATTAGTCTTGCATGGTCACGGCGGATCAGCCGACTCTTTTTGTTTTATTTTTATAGTAATATATCGTTAAAAAATATTGCGAGCTTATTCTCATAGTTTAGAATGTTAGAACTATTTCATCCGTTTCTACGATCAATGAAATTGTTTCTTAGAATTAATTTTGTCCATTTTACGTAGAAAACCCAATGACCCGAAAGTGCACGTACCATAAGTGCAGTATATGTTTTTATGTTTATTTAAAGACTTATTTACATAAACATAATGGAAACATTGTACGAAATGAAAAAGAATCAACGGAGTGAGTTTAGGAACTTCATTTCATTAAATTGATATATTTGATTTTTTTTTAACATTCAAGAGGATTTTTTAATCCATAAATCGTGCAATTATTTAATGCATTTTGAATTAAATCATTGATAAAATTGTTCAAACAAGGTAGGAACAAAATCCCAAAAATAAGTAGATGAGTTTCATTAGAACCAAGTAGTATTCGAGGTTAGTAATTGGCCCCGGGTGAGAAATCAGTACAGGTATGTTGACGGTGATCACACACACACGGGCCGAGGTTTCAGTTAGGGGAGAAGGGGGAGGGGGGGGGTTGACCGCACAGGAAGACAGTGTGCTAATTAAAGAGCTACACATACTTGTCAGTTTTCTTGGAAGGAAATGTCTTCGATTTATTTTGATTTTTGGCATCCCGATGGATTATATTTTGAGTTTATTTCCATGCCGAAAAGGTAAGCTGTTAACACCCTTCCCCGCAGTCACGCATTTTAACGCATATACCATTTCCTATTTCCAACGCAAAATCACGCATTTACCGTTTCCCCGCAATCACGCATTTTCACGCACTTTAAAAAGTTCATTTAATCTTCAATTTATTGCCAAATTCCAACCATTTTATACTTGCTTGAATCTCATAAAATTAAAAAAGTTATATTTTCTAATTAGAATATTATTCCAGAACATTATTTACGCTTAACTTTAGAGAAATTTGTACCCTGCTATAAAGAGCTTGCGGGGAAATGGTAAAGTAATATTTCTATGACGTGAGGATTCAATGTTAGTTGCAAAGCAATTCTGTAAGTTGTAAAGAGTTAAAAAACATCATGCTTTCCCCTGTACATGTATATATTATTTTTATGTTATCTAATGCCAGATAAATTAATGAAAATCTTCAATTTGATAGTAACAGCCATGGTGTGATAAATTGGGTAGAATATTTTCATTGATTATATTTTATAATTTTGATTTCTTTTATTAATTTAGACATATGTCAAAGAATTTATAATTAGCTTTAAAAATAAATTTAAAATTTGAACGTATACGACCAAAATCGTTGTTAAAATCATCTGGATCATTGTATTATGTTATAGTATATTTGTAACATCAAGATTTTAAAGAGACACTACAGCTCATTTTACGCAAAAATAAAACGACAAAAAATTTAAATGCAACTTTCTTTAATTTTCTCGCAAAGTTGAAGGTATGACCTTTCCGAAAATTATAGGTTTTAAAAGTAAATAAATCTGATTTAACCGTAAAAAAAAATGTTGTTTGTAATAGTTTTTGACGGTCCTATAAAAACAACAAAGGTACTTCCGGCTGATCTTCAATACCAGGTGTAGAGATCATTAGTGAACTAACATGCTTCAAATTTTCAGCATCGATATCATTTTCACCGTTTAATCAATTAGTGTTTAAATAAACAATCTACATAAATGTGGAAATCGAGCTGTAATGTCTCTTTAAATATAAATTGTGCATACCTGCAGGTCAGGCGCATAAAGATATTTCTAACGTTATCAGACGATAAACAAGGAAAAACAGAATATTGCATTTAAAAAAGATACATTTCAATATCTTGCTTATTATTTATTTATTTGCTTTTTGTCTACGCGAACATCGTAGCTTACCAAAAATCTTTCTCCGGTAACTCCGATTCCTTTGAGAAAATCATATTTCATAGTATTTAATTTTGACAAAATAAATCATACAATTTGATAAATTATTTTTTAAAGAAGTAGACCAGTTAATCGATCGAATTTCATTTCCGAAAAATAGAGTTACTGTTTAAATTTTGACAATTACTCTCTGCTATACCAAGTCCAAGATATAATTATTTTATTAATTTAACTAATATTTATTAATAAATCTATTTATTCATTCATGAACTATGCAATTAATTATTATTTCCTTCTACGCTTTATATTTCTTATAGTGATGAAAAAGAAAGGGATATATCTTTATTTTCTCTTTTTCGGTTGAATTAATCTTATTTTTATTTACAAAACGAAAAAGAAACTCGGAATAGCTCAGTAGTTTCTTTACATAGTAACGATAAAATGCGAGGGTTTCCGAATATACACGATAAACGCAAAACACGATACACGATAGAACCTGATAAACGATCTACACGATAAACGCAAAACACGATAAACGGAAAACACGATAGAAAACGCAAAACCTGATAAACGGAAAACACGATACGATAGGATATGATAGGATACACGCACGATACGATAGGATACACGCACGATACGATAGGATACACGCACGATAGAACACGATAGAATTATAAAGAATAACGATGCGGGTACTGTACAGCTGTACCACCTGGGCAATGATTTGAACGTTTTGAAAGAAATCCACTTCCTTATGGACATTGCACTCATCATCGTTTCTGACCGCCTTTTTTGTTAGAGGAGATTTTTCTCAATGGTTCCAACAACATTTTTAACTAATATGTATTTTTTTATGTTTCAACAGAGAATGCTTTGCGCCATCATAGATTAAGATTGATTCTTGAGAAGAAAAGTCCAAAATGTTGGAATTCTTAGAAAGTTCACGTCTCTCTGATGTCCTTTATGTTCCAAATTAGGAAATCGCAGTCAGTCTTCTTTTTCAATAATTGACATTATACGAGGGACATTTCAAAAGTTCTGGCAACTGTCTAGGAAAAGATTAACCGTTAAACGGAAATTATTGAGTTTGGCATCATTGGAAAGATCAGAAAAATATACACATATTGTGACGTTACTTTATAATTTTTATGACGTAATAACTACGGAAATGACATCAGAATATAGAATTTCTAGCATACTGAAAAGTCGCTTTTTTATCCACATGAGACGATTGTAGAAGTTCTGTCAAAGGCTTATTTGAAAAAAAATATTTCACAGAAAATTTAAATTTGCGAAGAGGTAGAGTAGGACTATGATACTGTTTATCAGCAATTCCATTATTCATTGTATGGTTTGTTCACTAGCACGGTTTATGTTATGCTATCATAACCATTCATTTTAGATTTTTATTCACATGATACAGCTGGGTTTTCGGTCTTTTATATAGCTCTCCACTTTTTGAAATAAAACATGTTCTGTATCAAACTGAAGTATATTAATGCAGTTTTCATCAAATATATTTTGAGTGACAGGACTCTTACCCTTTACGAATGAAATGTACGAAATCTTGTCCCCGAATTGATTCTGTGCGTATTTTTTCATATAAATTCAACTTCGGCGCCTCAAAACTCACCATTGCTTTTGACTTTTGAATCCAAAAATGAATATAAGTTACTCAAACATGTAAAGTCTTATTTATTTTTACATGCATTGAAATATGTGAATATGTGGAGGTACGGTGGGGTTACAACTGCGCTGCCGCCATTTTAGATTTTACGGGAAAATATGGGGCACACTAAACTTAACTTCTCTTGAGCATTCATCGATCACACAAATCTGGTTAAAACACCTGACGAATTTATGCCATCAAATTTTGTAATACAATCGCCTATATTTCTTTGTTTGTCAACTTTGTTTTTTTTCTCAGATTTAGGTCTCTTTTACGCAGAAGTTTGAGCGAGATTCGATACAACCATGCTAATTTTGACACACGCTAAAACCAATTCAGAACAAGAAGATCTCCAAAATAAAAACCTATATGATAGACTGTTGTCTATGTAAACATTCCAAAAACTGGCGTTTGCGTCCGTTAACTTGCGTTCCAGAAATGAGCAAAAGTTGTCTTGAAAATTTTAATTTGATTAATTGTGTTTTTTGTTACGTCACTTTTATGGTCAGTATGCTAAACATTCTTTATTCTGACGTCATTTTCGGAGTAATTACGACATAAAAATTATAAAGTGATGTCATAATATGTGTATATTTTTCTGATCTTTCAAATGATATTAAACTCAATAATTTCCGTAAAACGGTTAATCTTTTATCAAACAGTTGCCAGAGCTTTTGAAATACCTCTCGTATGTCAAATTTACCAAAACAAAAGCTTAATATAATGATTAAAAGTTTATATGTATCGCATCACTGTTAAGGCCTACTATGAAAAATCAACAAAAAATATAAGCCTGCAAAAAAGGGGATTTTTTAAAAACTGAATTTATTTTAATTAATCTGTTTTATTTTCACAGAACTTTAATACTTATGGAAATAGCATAGTATAACCAAGTCTCTACTGTATGAAGTTTAGTCCCATCGATGGAAAGTCACGTGATGAATACATAGTTCGTGTACTGAATGTATCTCATCAACAAAATTTCATTATCGCAAGGGCATACCTTAATTGAAATTAAAAATTCAAGCTATTAATTTTCTTCTGCATACTTTGTAGTTTCTGAAAAGTGCTGCTGCTTTGAATAGAATTTGCTTTTTTAAAGGCTATTTTGATTTTCAAGTAAATTGGTCAATGTCGAAATATATTTGACTTTTACCAAATATTTTGTGTACTTATAATATCACGCCCTCGATTTAAAGAAAGCAGCAGCACTTTTCAAGTTAAGGAAAATATTCTTTATCTATATTCAAAAAATGCTACAGATCTATGCAGTGTATGCCCTTGCGAAAAAGCGATTTTATGAGGCATCTCGATGTAAAATATAGATAGCCTGTAATTAAAAACACGACAAAATTAATAAAATACATTCTTTTGGTAGTTAATGAATAATCTCACTAAACAAAAATATACATTGGTATTTAATCGACTTTTTAAAACCTGTAAATAATACACTGTTTAATAATTAAAGGCATTTTTCATTGTTAAAAATTTCCCCAATCTGCCTCTTGCAGCACATGCAATACGTCATTTTTACCAATGTGACGTCATGTTTACAAGTTCATCGCGATCAGTGCTTTGTTTATAACCAGCTACATGGAGTTTAACTAGCAACTTTTTTAAAATGCATTGATAAGTTATATTGTTGTTTATTATGCTAATACAGTAAAAAGTTGCAAATTATTTCATTTTTAGTTATTATGAGAAATACATAAAAGTCATATTTTTGTGTGACGTCACAAACTTTTCCCATATAAATTAGGCCCCGCCATCTTTTTCAAGCCTTAACAATGCTGCGATACAAGTACACAAACTTTTTAATTACCTTCTTTCATTTTTATTTTTATTTCAAGTTCTTTTTTTTTAATTCGGTCCTCCTTTTCTTTTATTTCCCTTTCTTGTTTTTCGATTCCTGTTTCCATTTGTTTCATCTCTTGATTCATCGATGCAAGTTTTTTTCTTTTTTTGATAATTTCTTCTTCTTTTTTTGCATTTTCACATTTAAGTTCCATGAGTTCCTCGTTGTCATTATTCCCTTCGAATGAGAAAAATAAAAGTGTAAAATTCATTTGAAGCTAAACTTCATTCAGATCATAGACCGTAAACGTAAACAACAGTGTGTTATCTAGATAATTATTAATGGCTATCGTCACAAGGATAGGCGTTAACTTTTTTTTTTTTAACCATCCCCCAACAAGGTAGACTAATTATTTTTGTTGCATTAATTTTCATTGGGATAATGTGTAATTGATTTGTTGTGTTTTTTTATGAGTAAATTGTCATAAGGTACATGTATGAAGTGAAAATAAGATTTAACCTTTTAAATAGAAAATATATCAAAACTTGGTATGTAAGAGATGCTATGACAAAAGAAACAAAACCCCCCAAAAAAGGTTACCGTTCTAAATGAAAAATGATATTGTGTATTTATAATTTATCTTGGATTGTTCACATTTTACCAAATGAGAAGAAAACTTTATCGATAAATTCATATTATAAATTGTGTTATGAAGGTTTTAGTTTGTTTGTTGATTGTTTAACGTCCCTCTCGATAATGTTTGATTCATATGGAGACACCACCAATTGCTGGTGCAGGTCTGAACAAGAGGCCCATGGGCCACATCGCTCACCTGAGCACTAAGGGTAGGAAAAAGTAGAAAATGGCTTTTTATTGTAAAGTTTAAATCCAAAAGTAGTCCCATGACCAATCATTTTTAGAAAATGATTCTTAAAGAATTTTCATATATATATATATATATATATATATATATATATATATATATATATATATATATATATATATATATATATATATATATATATATATATATATATCTTGGTCGGCCATTTTGGCCCCGCCCTATATTGTACTCCTGGGGGTCATGATTTGAACAAATTTGAATCTACACTACTTGAGCATGCCTCCATATAAATATGATGAATTATGGCTTTGTCATTCTTGAGAAGAAGATGTTTAAAGAATTTTCCTATATATTTCTATGTAAAACGTTGGTCGGCCATTTTGGTCCCGCCCTACCCCCGGGGTTCATGATTTGAACAAACTTGAATCTTCACTACCTGAGCATGCTTCCATATAAATATGATGATTAATGGCTTTGTCATTCTTGAGAAGAAGATTTTTAAAGAATTTTCCTATATATTTTTATGTAAAACTTTGGTCGGCCATTTTGGCCCCGCCCTACCCCTGGGGGTCATGATTTGAACAAACTTGAATCTACACAACCTGAGCATGCTTCCATATAAATATGATCAATTATGGCTCTTTCATTCTTGAGAAGATTTTTAAAGAATTTTCCTATATACATGTATTTCTATGTAAAACTTTGGTCGGCCATTTTGGTCCCGCCCTACCCCCGGGGGTCATGATTTGAACAAACTTGAATCTACAATACCTGAGCATGCTTCTATATAAATATGATGAATTATGGCTTTGTCATTCTTGGGAAGAAGATTTTCAAAGAATTTTCCTATATATTTCTATGTAAAACTTTGGTCAGCCATTTTGGCCCCGCCCTAACCCGGGGGTCATGATTTGAACAAACTTGAATCTACACTACCTGATCATGCTCCCATATAAATATGATGAATTATGGCTTTGTCATTCTTAAGAAGAAGATTTTTGAAGAATTTTCCTGTATATTTCTATGTACAACTTTGGTCGGCCATTTTGGCCCCGCCCTACCCCCGTGGGTCATGATTTAAACAAACTTGAATCTACACTACCTGAGGATGTTTCCCCATAAGTTTCAATTTTCCTGGCACAGTGGTTCTTGAGAAGATGTTTTTAAAATATGCCACTAAATTTCCATTAATTCCTAATTATCTCCCCTTGAATAAGGGCGTGACCCTTCATTTGAACAAACTTAAATCCCCTTTACCCAAGGACACTTTGTGGCAAGTTTGGTTGAAATTGGCATAGTGGTTCTTGAGAAGAAGTCGAAAATGTGAAAAGTTTTCAGACATACAGACGGACGGACGGACAGACAACGGACGCCGGACAAAATGTGATCAGAAAAGCTCACTTGAGCATTCGGCTCAGGTGAGCTAGAAATTTATACCTATACTCGCGATCGGCACTCAAGCCATTGAGCAGTAAGGTACATTTTTTCGTGCCAGCACCTACTGCGACATGGCAACTTGGTTTATAACCGGTCTCCAAGTCCCCAATGGATTAGAATCCACGACGTAAGGATCATTTCCCTTTTCTTCGACTCTAGATTGGAAACTCTAACTACTGCGCCATGAGGGTGACAGAAACTTTTTTTGTAATAAAGGAATATCTGTTTCATTTTACATATCCATTCAAAATAGTTTTTAGTTTTAAATTATTGATGATACAAGTAATGAATCCGTCAAAAAGGTAGCAATTATTTAATCTGATTATCCTTTCCGATAAGACTATTGACCATTTTGAAAACATATGACTAAGAGTAAATGTAGTAACAAAATGTATGCATAATATATTGTAAACCTTTTGCATTATTCAAATCTTTGAGATAATCTAAAGTTCTCTCACTTGCAAATTTTTCCTCTTTTTCTAGAACTTTCAAGGATTCAGCTTTGACATTTATATCAAGCTGAGTTTTTCTGATGCTTTTCTGATGATTCTCTATCTTTTCTTTTTCAGATAAAATGGTTTCCTTAATGTTTTGAATGTCTTCCTGAAGTACATTTATAACTTTTCTGCTCTCTTCAAAATCATAGTCTTCGTCTGTATCCCCATCGTCCTTGTCTTTGTCTCTCATTAACCCTGGAACAATTACAATGAATTTTTGAAAAAAAAAATTATATATATATATTTTTTGTAATTAAAATAGTATTTCTTTTTAAGAAGAAATTTTTGAAAGGTTAAATTAATCAAAATACATCCAACTAATTCCTTAAGGAAAACCTTGAAGTTTATTCAACGACCAAATAAGATATTCTTTAGACAGAAAAACACAATAAAATTTAAATTTTAAAAGTCAGCCGTCGATTGTAAAAGTAAGTCTCTTCATAAAACTCCTTTAGGAGGCCTACTTATACAACTTCCGGTGCTAAGTTGTAACTTCGATAGTGAGTCCAGGTGAAAGTCCCAAAACAAAATACAATGTACTGGGATATACATTTCTCTTGTGCTAATTATAAAAGCACATAGAGTACTTTCCCTAGTAATCTAAATTTTAGAAGATTTTTTTATATTTTCACAAACGTCTCTGCAATGAGTATTCAAAACTTAAAAAGAGAACCTCAAAATTTGGAATACATAAGAGGTGGAGTTATCATAACACCCAAAGCTTTTTCACACATTAGTGAACAAAGTAGTCCCAAAGAGAAATCGCAGGGATTGCTGTGACTGCTAAGTTTGATTACTATATCAGTCTTAAACAGTCCTTTACTTCAATATATATATATATATATATATATATATATATATATATATATATATATATATATATATATATATATATAAAGATGAGTCTGGGCGTACAAAGATTTATTTGCAATGCACAGTGAATAGCTCAACTTAAAGCAGAATAAAAACACAAAGAACATACATGTGAATGTACATGTAACCTCCCATGTGTGTTAAATTATACAAAGTATATAGACTGCAGTAATACTACTGGTGGGGGTGGGTGGGTTTTGCGAATAGCACAAGTAGCTCGTAGTTATCAATTGCTCAAAGGCGCACTAAAAAAGGCGCTCAAGTTAACATAATGACGTAACAGCATAACATAACTGCATGAGTAAAAAAGACGGAAAAACTATTTCCGTAAACCTCATTCATTTACAAGAATTAACATTTTACTTCAATATATATATAAAAGATGAGTCTGGGCGTACACAGATTTATTTTCAATGCACAGTGAATAGCTCAACTTAAAGTAGAATAAAAACACAAAGAACATAGATGTGAATGTACATGTAACCTCCCAGACCCATGTAAATAATGTTTGAAAGAGAAGAGGGGGAGTAAAACCTCAAATAACCCAAAACTCCCCTAAAGACTGAAAGGTCGTCCTCTACCAAACTGGTACATTTTTTCGAACTTTTGGTCAGTGTTAGACTCTAAGTAGCGCAGATAGGCGTTGCTCTTCCAGAAGCCTAGTTCCTGTATCAACTCGCCTTGTAATCCTTGTTAGAAGGCCCAAGTGGCCCCTCCCCTTCGAAAGGAGTGCCCAGTTATATCCACTCCAGGCAAGACTCTCCGCAGTCGCGACAGAAACCAGCTATAAGACAGGGGTTCACCGTTTGCCTTCTGTAGGAGGGGTGAGGTGTCCGACGTTAAAGGGTTAATGAAGAGCAAATGAAATAAGCTGCGCAAGGCACTGGCTGGGCACAGTGGGTGACCATGCAATTCAGGAAGTGTAACTTGAAGTTGGTGCTCTCGGAATTGCAGGGTCTTAGTCCAATTCAGGGATAACAAGAAGCCCTTGGCATGTGGGCTTATATTTTGAATACACAAATCACGGTCTGGAACACAGATAGGTCCCTGAGATAAGAAGTTTCCAGGCCGCAGAAGTCCGAAGAAGGCGATAAGGCATGCCGTCTAAAAGGACAAGTCCTCCTTCAGATCTAAACATAGGGAACTCTTAATCAGTAAAAGATGTCTAGGCTGAATAGGTGTCGCTGCTCCCTGGGCATCACCAAGTTCACGTTTTGCTCCCTTCAGGGTTTGCTGAATGGACCACACTCCATGAATAGGGTCATCTAAATCATTAGCACAATGTAAATGTTTCACAATGTTCAGGTAATTCTTGATGATACTATACTTAAAGGACTTCATATCCACCAAGTATGCAATGTATAAGATAATCTGCTCAGGTGCTGCTGGTACTCTAGGTAAGTTAACTTTAGCACAAAAGTCCAGATAGCAGGTAAGTTGGGCTTGGTAAGTTTTCTTTGTGCTAACCGCCCATCCCTGGGTCCTCAGGCGACTGGCTGCCATGCGCAGTGCTTGACGAAGCTCGGCCCCATCTACAATAAATAAAAGCAGGTGACATGTGTGAGACCAGTGCTTTTACTGTGAAAAGTACAATGTATGACCCATCAAATGGTAATATTTCATAGAGCTTAGTGAGCATGTAAGGTTCACTTAAACGCTAAATCACATCTGCTATTGTGTTCAGTTTACCCTTTACATAGGATGCATAGACACTAAAGTTATAAAATGCTTGAGTCCAGAATAAGCTTCTGAGCCATTCCATAATAAAAGTATTTCTGCTGGAACCTTTGTTTATGTATGCTTTAGCAGTAGTATTGTCTGTGTACACTATAACTTTTTTGTTCGCAAGCAGAGGTGCCCAACGTTGTAATGCTAGGATTATAGCCACAGTTTCCTTGGTATTAATATGTTTGTCTGCGACTTCTGGCACGGCCAGTGTCCAGTTCACATAAAAGTAATCACCGCTAAAGTAGCCGCCGCCTCCTGCATTGCAAGCATCCGTCATCAAGGAACGAACAGGACGTGTCTCTAAAAAATGCACTGTTCCGTTGAATATGGGGAGGAACGCTATCCACCACTCCAAGTCTTTTCGAAAACAATCCAAAAGTACTTTGTCCGATTGGCGGTGTAAGGCATTTTTAGCGTTGATCACACGACGTAGAAAGGTTTGCAAATAGCACAAGTAGCTCGTAGTTATCAATTGCTCAAAGGCGCACTAAAAAAGGCGCTCAAGTTAACATAATGACGTAACAGCATAACATAACTGCATGAGTAAAAAAGGCGGAAAAACTATTTCCGTAAACCTCATTCATTTACAAGAATTAACATTTTAGTAGTCCCGCAACCGACCTAGAGCAGTCCAACAGCAGGCCGAGAAGGGTCCCGTATCAGTCACAGAATAGTCCCCTGGACTACATTCTTGGGCTGCTTTGATGTCAGGTTCGGTCTGGTGGGTACTGTATATAAACCGGCCGTTAACTATCGAACAATGCAAGTATCGGTTAGAAAACCTGCCACTGGATTATACATCATCTCTCACACACACTCCCAAATACACATACACTGACAAATATGGTCCATGCTTTAGAAAAAAAAGGGATCGTTGTATTTAATTCTGTACATTGCCCCTTTCGCCTTCGTTGCAATTAGACGAATTTAAAACAGGGAATTTAAAGAATCTTAAGAAAGGATTTTTTTCTCTGGATAAAACTAAAAGAAAAAAAAAACACAGAAGGTTTTTGCCATGGCAAGACCGTCTTTCGTCCTTTCTGTCACATCAAAGATGGTAAATATGCATTCACAACACAGCATGACCTTAAGCTGTGCAATACATATAACGTGATAATACGTAATATCGCGAGTACCTTGCAGTTACTTAACTTACTACCGCTCTTTTGCAGGGGAGTCGAGAAAGCTCAAATCTCACGAGATTACCTGGGGTACATGACATTCTTTACAGTAGGGACAATCGAATGATTTGAACAATTTTATACCAAAATTACAATGTATTGCAGAGTATTGAACTCCAAATAGTAGATTGTCAAATAAGAAAAGTTTAGATTATTTTATCAGCTTCAAAATGCAATGATTTTTAATAAAAATTTAATAAGAACAGCCCGTTTAGTTAAAAATATCGTTAAAAATGTAACATTTTAGGATTATCTCCTCTCAAAAATTAATTTGGCTGGTTCAGCGATTCAACAAACGTTTCCTACCTCCATTGCGAAAGAGTTCCGCTAAGTAAAGTAATCGCGATATCAAGTATTGAGTCTTACATTAATGAACCTAAGAAGGGAAAGTCTGTATCCTTTCATTGATTAAATGCAAATTAGCCAAAGTTTTTTTAGTAAGAAAAAGTCATAAAACCATTTTTTTTACCCTACTAATAAACTCAAATCATTCTAAATGATTATTAGAATTGTTTGTTCTTTCCCTATTAATATCTTCTTACATGTATATATTGAACGAACGTTGGTTTTATTTATTTTTGAGTCATTCGAGGTAGCGATAAAGAAACAATAATGCATGAAATAAATGACTCATTATCTAAATTTTCCATGTCCAACATGTCAACCCCCACCATGTCAATTCTTTATAATTGATATATACAGTGGATTTTAAGTAGTCGGACCATTAACAATTTTTTTAAAGAAAAAGTAACCGAGCATAACTTGAAACTATATTTTAAAAAAAGTCAATTTTTTTCTTCTGTAAACCAAACTCTTGCCTTTGTCTTTTATTTATCAAAGTTGATGTTTTTTTAATTTACTGGTTTGGTTTCTTAAAGTATATTTTCACATATATTTTAGCAAATGGTTATAGAAATAGTAAGAACAATATATTTCTCAAAAACGGAGAGCATTCAATGTTATACTCACGTTTTCCCAGCTTGTAGAGTAGAGGAATGCCAGCGGCCAGAGCTGCTCCAGCTGTTGTTAGGATAACAAAACTTATACATTATTACTTAGGTTTCAATTAGAATTTAAAGTAAATCAATGAACCTTTTAAAAGAATTACAATTGTCAACATTCCTTAGAACCCTTTTTATTGCTAAACAACTTACCCAGGTCATTAAATATTTTCAAATCTTTTCTTGGTTCAGTAAGAATTTAAGCTAAATTAATGAGCCTTTTAAGAAAATTGAAACTGTGAAAATCCCCCAAAGCCATTTTCTTTATTGCTAAACAGCTTTCCAGGGTAATAAAACATTTGTAAAGCTTGTTATTTTTTTTAGCTTCGAAAGGTTTTTTTTTCTCAATAAACATTTTAAAAATGTTAACCGTCGAAAATAATTTTAATTTCCATCGTAATATTTTACAAATGTTGAAAAATATTTTCAGACAGCATTTATTGAAATTTTTAATGAATCTCTCCATCTAATGTTTCTGAATTAAAAAAAAGATTTTAAATGGCATGACTTCTTCAAAAACATTAAGCAGTTCTATATTACATATCAAAAATATATTCATACATCTGAAAAGCATTTTTTTTTTAAAATAAAGCATTGTATGGTTCGTATCTTTCACATTTTGACAAAATATTTGACAACATTCTATATATTGCTTATGATTAATAGTGAAATTCTCTCTGCCAAGGTCATGGTTTTATTTTAAACATTACACAAGACGTTCTCTCCTCCTTCAATTGAAGACTATTATAACTGTTATATTTAATGGAAAAAGAAACGCATAATAGCATAATAGCGAAAAATTTTAAACTATGTGACCGAAAATTATGAAAATTGGTCAAATGTGTATTTTGATTACTGTGCACTAAAATTGCTGGTCAAAATTACTCAACCATGAAATGTATGGCGTCACGTAGGGGAAGTGATAAAAAGCCAAATACACGTGCATGTTGATGATGGCAATTTTGTGATCACATTTTGTAGTGACAAGAGATGCATTAGAGTTATAGACATCGTTTTCCGGTATTTGCAGTCAGTAAAAATTTCTTGTAATCATGATATTGTTGACGGAAGTTACATGGGGTCTAGTAATTGAGTTGCATAACTGAATAAAAAGGCAACAACATGTTGTGCAGTTTGTTTTTAACTTCTCAATCAAAAAAGGTTTTTCGGTTGTCAGAGAATAACTTAAAATGTTTCCAACCAACCATGACGTTGACGTTGGCGCGTAACAACGTCACATCAAGAGAGGGCTTTTCATCATGCAACCTCGGTTACTGTCAAGTCATTATCACTGAAACCGATATTTTTACAGCAGACAATCATACTCATATTTTCACCCTAATACTGACAGAAACTCTCTGCTCTAATTTGGTAAGTAAGCTTGGCAACTTTTCGTCGATTTTACTCTCACACGCGCACGTACGCGCCATATGCGTAACGTTTTTTGGCATGTTCACGCTGAGAAAATGTAGCCAGTGTTTGTCAAGACTTCCTTACAAACATTCACAAGTACCAAATCAGCTAGATTCTATAAATTCTATCCTAAATCGAAAATTCGTGAGATACATTTGGCGGGGGGATTTGTTGGCTTTGGAATAACACAGCTACTTTCAACCAGTTAGACTACCGTCGGAAGGCTTGAATGATAATCCTATGAGAAAGATAAATGTTCCAGTGAACTCAATGCTCAAGAAAATCAAGGCTGTTACTGATGCGCAAGGGAGATGATGAGAATTTTTGTTTTAATTTTTGGGGGTATCGACATATCAATTTCAGTAACTCAGGAATTATAAGTCAAAGTCACACAAGATTTCGGTTACTTGTTGTTTAAAGGTGGATTAAATTGTTTGATAACAATACTCGAAAACATATTGGAAATAAAAGTTTTAATTTTATTCAAAAGTTGATTATGCGTTTCTTTTTCCTTTCAGTATATTTTTATTGGTACTTCTTTGTTAATTATTATTATTTTTTAAAGACATTCATGTCCTTTCCATCTTGATTGAATTAGTTATTATGTAAATGTTGTGAAAATGAACTTAGGACATTGAATTTAATTTTTTTCCTTTTAAGTACTGAAGGTTTTATAAAGTCTTGCTACAACATTTTGTAATGTTAATTTCAATATTTTTCAAAATAGCATAATCGTCATGGCTCACCATTTTTTTTTAGCTAAGAAAATTTCTGAAAAATGAATTATTTAGAATATAAAGAAAAAAGTGCGTTTAAATACAAAATCCGATGTTGTAAAAGTTCTCCAAAATTATAACCTGGAATTATTATTATTATAACCCTTTCATTCTTGCAGAGTTAACTTGAATATGTACTCAATAAAAAGAAGAAAAGAAAAACGTCAAATAACCGAATAAATATTTAAATGTAATAAAAAAAATTACATTGACCATTAAATAGTTATAAATTAAAGACTATCGCAGAAGAAAAGAGTCTTTAAAATTTGCTTAATGATGGTTCACTGGTTGTTTAATGGCAAGCTAAAGAAGTTCATTCCTTTAAAGCCACCATTAAATTGAAGTTTCCACGTGCTTAATGTCAAAACTTCATTAAACCATGTAACCCGCCTTGGCGCAGTGGTTAGAGCATCTGCTCTAAAATAAGAATATGATCCTTACATATGCACGCGCGTGTTGGAATCCACTGCGGGACGACAAAACCGGATCTTCGGATCACACGTAAAAACAGAGGTTCTGTGTTGCAATTTAGGTGTTGGTACAAGAAAGATCACTCAATGTTCAATGACCCTGAGTGCCGAATAAAGGTTAAATTTGCTGTCCTCCCTCGGCAAATGTGGTGGCGCAATATCGTTTTTAATATTTCATAATTTTGTTTCGCTTATTCTAACATGTGTAGAAACCTCAAGTGATTTATTTTGATAACCTGCTGTCCATCCGTCTATGTGTCTCTCTGTCTGTCTGTATACTTTTCACATTTTAAGCTTTTTCTCAAGAGCGAACCGATCAATTTTGACAAATGTTAGAACAAAGCATTCCGGGATAAAGTAGAGTTTAGACTGTTAAAATAACGGCCAAATCCCCTTACAAGGAGAAGAGAATCAAGAAAATACAAAAATATGGGTCATAAATGGTGTCATAAAAATTTCTTCTGCAGAACCACTTGTCAAGAAAAGATTAAACTTATCTAGAAGCATAGCGGGAAAGTATAAATTTTGAATGTTCAAATTATGGGCACCGAAGATAGGATGTGGCCACATTAAGAATCAAAATGTTACATTGAAATATATAAGGGAAAAATCAAAGCATTTCTTTCAAGAGACACTTGGCCAGAAATGCAGAAACTTATGTGGAATACTTTTTTGGTGTAGGGAAGATTCTAAATTGTTCAAATCACCTTCCCCTATGGAAGGTCGGGATGACATTAACGAATCAAATTGTTGCCTTGAAATATATAGGAAACATTTATATATATAAGCCTACAAACCAGGAAAGTTGAACCTTACATCTGTATGTTAAAGCATGCAGGGGTAATTTAGATTCTTAATTGTTCAGTTCATGGCTTTCAAAGTTAGTGTGGTGTCACAATAGGAAATCAAGGTTTTACAATGAAATATATAGAACCAAAACCTTCTTTTCCAAGAAACACAGGTCCAAAGAAGGTGAATTTTCTGTGGAAGCTTTCTTAGTTAGGGTAAATTATTTACTGATCAAATCATGGCCCTCAGGGATGGGGTGGGTCCACAATAGGTAATCGAAGATTTTACATTAACATATATAGAATTCCATCGGCATCGAAAGCAAGTTTTTTGACTTGCCTAGATAGCCGAGCGGTCTAGCGCGCTGTTCCTGCACTGCTAGGAGACAGATTCCTAAGGTCGAGAGTTCAACCCCGGGCTGGGGCGGAAGTGGGTATCCATGTAAAAGTGAATTTCTTTGTGCTTTCTATATTAATATTTCTTCACTTAGGGCAGTTATGTTAGTTTAAGAGTTGTTGTAAAATGTGCTTTATAAATAATAATTAATTTCATTACAACATGTATTGGTAACAATCCTCTGTTAAAACTAATGTCCAAATAACTGTATCTCACTTCTATTCTCAATGACCGTGTAGTGTAGGGCAGCGCCGCGAGAATTCCATCGGCATCGAAAGCAAGTTTTTTGACTTGCCTAGATAGCCGAGCGGTCTAGCGCGCTGTTCCTGCACTGCTAGGAGACAGATTCCGAAGGTCGAGAGTTCAACCCCGGGCTGGGGCGGAAGTGGGTATCCATGTAAAAGTGAATTTCTTTGTGCTTTCTATATTAATATTTCTTCACTTAGGGCAGTTATGTTAGTTTAAGAGTTGTTGTAAAATGTGCTTTATATATATATATATATATATATATATATATATATATATATATATATATATATATATATATATATATAATGAATTAATTACAGTTAAAACAACCATACATTTCTTTCTGTGCCAAGGTGATTCTGAGTAAGGTAAAGGATTTTTTTAAAATTTACAAATGTCTGTTTACGTATTGCATTAATACACTGGTATTTTAAAATTCTAATACAAATGGAAACATTAGGGGTGTCACCGCGTCACAACTAAACGGCACGTTTTAAAGTCTAAATTCTTAGAAAGAAAAACGACAAACGCATTAAAACGCATCTATAAAAGCATCCAATGGCCTATTATTTTTAAAAGACAACAATTTTCGACATTTTGATAATTATCCATCCATTAACAATTTGTTGGTTGTCTTTTCTATTACAACAAAATGTTACCGTGCTTGAAGCATTTGTACATTTAATATTTTAGCATCGTTCTACATTCATTTATGTACTTAATGCATTATGGGGATATTTCATGGATAAAGTAACAGCTAAGTTATAATAATAGAAATATAAATATAGTAAATACTTTTTGCAATGAAATAATTTATTTTCAAACACGATATCTTAGTTATTTAATTTAAAAAGTGTTAATCCTTACCATCAAAAAGAAAAGTCCCTTCACTTCGGAGTTCCGAATGACAATGAAGACTAAACGATAAGTGAACGGTGAACGCAAAGTAAACGAAACGAAGATCAAACGGTGAAAGTTTTTTGAACGGTGACCGCGAGCGCGCGGTGAACTGTGAACGGAGAGCGAGCGGTGAACGCACGCTGAGCGAACGGTTAGCGAACGGAAAAAATGGGAAAGTTTAACGTTTCAGGGAGTGTGAGACACCGAAGTGATAAGACTTACTTAAAGTTGGCTCCTGATTTCACCTGTGATAGTGGTTCATCTTCTAATCATTTCAGATCATTCATTTATAAGGCACAACATGTGGACTCTTAACATTGAATATCTTAACGGAATTTTCTTGGACTTTTCAAAATTATCAATGAATGCATAGAAATGGCTTCATTTAATCTTAATTTACTTTCAAACATCTACATTTAGTAGTCCATATATGCACAGCAATATTTTTCCAGACATGAGACAAACAGTAGAACTAAAATCGTATTTGCTTAAGATATTATACAGTTCACTTTGAATTCACCCCGTTTAAAATTCGCCCACGCCAGCCTAGGGCAAATGGGGCGAAAAGTAAACGGGGGCGAACATTTCCCTGTATACAGTAGTAAGCTATATGTCGTGAACTTTAGAGATAAAGATTTCTTAAAATCTACATTTAAAGATTGATGTGAGGTCGTAGAAATGAATCCGAATATGCCAAAGTTTAATATAAACAAACTCTTGTCGTTTCTGGGTGTATAAAATAGAAAAGAAAAGAAAAAAAAATGTTTCCAAAAATATATTTTTCCTAAGTGTTATTGATAACTGTCTATTTTTATCTAACACAAATACACGAGGTCCCTTTCCTTAATTTCATGTTGTTTTCCTTTAGAGCTCTAAATACAAAATACCACAGAATCTGAAAATCTGTTTCTCATTTGGATTTCTTATATGAAAAAAATAGTTAATGGTAAGATAAAAGAAATCTTTATTATAAACGTATTCTTTTATTGTAAATCTTTCTTACTTAGGTAGAAATGTTCTATTTAACCTGCATATGTAGAGTTTAAGTATTCTAGTTGATTTGATATGCAAAAGTGTGCTCTATACGTACGAACAATTACATGTACGAGGCAAACTATTAAAAAAAAATTGATAATAGAAACCTTTCAAAGGTATCGTTTATATTTTTTATTTGCAAATTCAATCGTCGATACAATTACCCTGTAAGCAAATACATTTTTTGCCGAGTTGAAAGTTGACCGATTCTTTTCAAGCAAATTGATTTTCACAATGAATTTTCTACGGACTTTTCCTTTTACCCGATCGCCATGTAACCTAATCCAACCTCTAATGAAGGAATTCTGTTCTTACTCTGTTCAAAATGTATATTGTTTAAGTACTATATTTAATGAATTGATTACAGATCATTATCTTATTTCCTTTTAAGGATTATTGATAAAATGTCTATGCAAATATATGATTTATATACAATTGTTCTTCTAAATATAATTCTATTCATCAAATGTCTCAATTTTAAAGTCCATAAAAATCTTTTTTGGCTAATTTAAAACGGGGCAAACTTGTTTACAGATGTGAAAGGGCGAAAATAACACGGGGCGAAAATACCCTGTATACAGTATAATGTCATATTGTAAAGGCTAGTAGATTATTTGGTTGTAGCCTTAATTAATATACTCGCGTGGGCTGTTTTCGTTTCTTTTGATTCAGAAGAATTATGTAATGTGACTAGTCAGCATGTTTTACAAGTCAATTTGTCATTAACTCTATATTTTGTTACAAGCCCAGCCAATTAATTGTTACATAAGTAAATGTTATATGTAATGTAGCTTTAGTTCTAGTCATTTGTTAGTTCAATAAATGACATTTTCACTCATTTGTGTTTTTTTTATAATTTGTATACGAGATTAAGCATAAACGAGCTGCAAAAAGCCAGAATTGTCTTTTCTTATTACAGAAAAATGTGTGGATACAGTGTATAAACATTTTCTTATACTTCGCCATTTTATGACCGCATGGGGTCCATTTCCAATCACGAAAACCTATTCAACAGACTGTACGTCAAGTTAAGGTGTATTTGAAATTCAAATAACAAATTTTTAATATCATATATATCCATACTGAGTTCTTAACTACATAAAAATCCTTACATTAGTCGAACAATGATACAGTGGTATATAGCTTGTATCCAGTAACTGTTCTTTGAAGCCTCTTACTTCACTCATCATCAAACTTTTCACAGCAACGAAAGAGAAACTTCAGGATATATAAATTTGAAATGGGTGTTAATCTTTCTAGATACTTGAAAAGTCCAAAGAATTTGAGAAAAATTTAAATCACAAAATGTTTCAAATTGAGAAAAAAAAAAACAAAGACATATTGATTTTTATCACATTATCAACAATTCCCCATGATGAATAAAATTCCAAACTCTCTGACATCATAAAAAGCTGTTATTTCAAATCAAAAGGAACTAACTGCTCTTATTACTAATAGACTAGACATTTTTATAACATTTTAAAAGATTATTTGAATGTACAAACAAGTAATCTGAAGTTTATATTGCAAAGATGCCGAAGTTTCTGATAGACAAATGAATGTGTATGTGTTTTTAGGGGGACATTTTTACTTACAATCTGTTAGTCTGGTGTTAGGTACTAGGTACTCACTTCTTAGCAAACCTATTTGTGATTTAAAGTATGTCACTCGTCAGCTTTTAAGAAAAATTCAAGCAGAACTTTTTATCATAATTTGATTTTTATAACATATATAATTCAAACAAATATAAGCATTCAATGAAAAAACTACTACCAAAATTCACAAAGAAGCAAGATTTATAAGGGACTTTTTTCTAGTGGTGGAAGGATATTTAGCAGAAAATTCTGCAAATCTACACATTTATCAAATTTGATATCTTGGAAATTAGCATTACAGGCTTTTACTCAGAGAATATTTTCTAGGAATATTAAATATAGGTCTCAGTTTAAATAAGGACATAAACCGCAGGGTAATCTTTTGAGGTGTAAAAATTTATTTGTCTTTCCATTTTTTTTATTATTCCTTTCTAACTTTTATAATCAACTTCCAACAAGATATAACCAATATCCCATTTGATTTTGTCAAACAATTCAGAAGCTATTGAAGCTCATATGACGATACCCCCCTTAAGTGAAAGTCGAAAACTCATTGTCTTTTATGCCTATTCCGTGCATCTGTCAGAGCCTTATTTTTCCTTTGCATGGAATTCTTTAAAGTGTTTATCTTTCAAACCCTGGGTATATTGGGAATTGTAACCACGCCAAAACATTAGTCAAACGACGTGCGCATGCGCTAGTGAGAGGAAGATAACAGTAAGTTGACCAGCTAAAAAAAAACCCTAATTGCGGAAGTGTTTACTTTCATTTTTCTTGTGAATGTAATGAGTAATGATTATCATAGTCTACTGTAAAAATGGCGGTTTTTTATGGTAGTAAGATGGGGATTTTTGAGATGCCAGGGCGAATAAACCGCCCGTAACATGACTCTGTTTTGCATTAACGTCATCGTAAATGTTGATTGAAAACCATTCCAGGCTTTCTATCACAAAGGATAACAATTTTTATTGGGGAAAATTTACAAGAAACTGGTTAGTTACCCCTTGTTGTCATTTTCATAAAAATAGGCAATTCGAAAACCAGACCCAACGGAACTTCCGTAAATTGTACCACGATTGCAAGAAATTCATATCGTCTCTAACTATTAAAAACTATGTCTATACCTCAGGTGTATCAAATGGTGCAACAAGATTTCTTCACAAATTCGCCATCATCAAATTGCCAGAGTTTTGGGCTTTTTGCGTTTTCCCTACGTGACGTCATACAGTTTACATTTGAGTAATTATGAACGCTAATTTTGGTACCAATTTTCGTAATTTCCGGTCATGCGGTCAAAAAGTTTTCGAAAATTATGCTACGTTGCGTTTCTTTTTCCTTTCAGTATATTTATTTAGAACAAATTTTACACCGTCCCTCAACAATCTTTGCTGAGAAACGAAGATATATTGAAGAAGTCAAGATAATGTTTACACCGGTTTTTGCCTGAAAATCGCATATTTTGAACAATGTTTCAAAAATTACATCATAAATTACATCATTTTCTTTCATTATTTTAAACTACTAAGATACTTGTGAATATATATACAATTTGACGCCTGAACAAAGATAAACACAACAAAGGCTAACTATGATGATAAACGGAGCTACGGAACAGGAGGTTGCAATTGCATTTAGGGTACATCAGTCGGCTTTGCAGCGGTTTAACATACGTCTCCACCAGTTAAGAACACGGATAACAGATCGAAATCTGGCCGTCAACAGGCAACCACACCTAGAAAGGACCGCCAGAACCCCACCCCCCTTCAGTAATCGATTCAGAACTGCTGCAGAAACTGCTGCTACATGTGCTGGTTGAAAACATCATTAAAACAGTGCACAAGTTGTTCTAAAGAGACTGAGAGACGATGGTATTCGTCCACGATATCTGTACATTAGAAACCCACTAGCATTGAGGCGTCGCACAGTACATATTGTTATGCCCCTTAAATTTGGGGGCATGAAAATGACATTAATTTGATTTTTCAATTTCAACATAGGATATGTTCGATTTTTATCAAAACACACTCTCAAATCACTTCAATAAAATAATATTTAAACTGAAAACTTATATTATCATATTGATCTGAATATGCGGTTTTTTTTTGTTGAGTATTTATTGATGGATGGCGTTTTATCTATTGACAACAGTCATTTCTTATCCTTATAAAGAATAAAAGGATTGTGAACACTCTAAAGGAAAAATAATTGCACTGAAAACGATCATTTTTGAAAATTAAGAAAACGAGGTCCAATAGATCATGAAAAAGAAATGACTTACCAATAATGAAAGCCATGGCAGTAAGAAGTTAGGAGAGATCAGGAAAAGTCGTCAAGATGAAATTGTTCTAGATTTCCTTAAAATAAAATACAGGTATAAATAAAAAATCTATTCAAAAGCTATATTTTTTTTAAATTTTATATTTAATTTGATACATCAGATTCATTTAAACAAGTAAAATCGTTATCGCAGCACTTTTTTTAAATGTAAGAATATCTTATCTTTTCGTAAATATTTATTATTTATGATGTAAAATTTCCCTATCGTCTGCATATCGTGTGATTATCTTCGATACAAAGGTATTTAAAACTCAAGAGCAATATCAAGGTCAGTTTTTTCACATGATTTTTAAAAGACATGAAGTTCTTTAACCCGTTACAAGATCGAAAATTCTTTTGCAATGATTTCTAGTAAGTTTTCTTTTTAAAATATATCAATGATATGAGTTTATCAATCTTAAAGTAAAATACGTGTTAGTTTTTTTTTCCAGAAAAGTCTTATTAGACGCTTCTTTTATCTAAGACAAATATTGAAGAAAAAGAAATAAAATAAAATCTACTTTTTAATTTCGCATCTGAAATATAAATATTGAAAAAAAAAAACTGACTTTTAATTTCGCATCTGGTAACAAACCGGATTACTGAAGATGTAAAACAAAGGTGATCTAGCACATCTATCATGTCATGTTCTGTCATCTCAAATAAGTCTTCAGTTCATATCCTTAACAGCTCTTTAGATACTTCGAAGTAGAGAATCATTTAAAAATCAGGAAATTTGCCCATAATTTACAACCAGAAGCGAATAATTCAACTCTCATTGTTATATTGATTGATTGATTTTAATGTCCCTTGCAAGAATTTTTCAATCATATGGAGACGTCACCGTATGCCGGTGAAAGGCTTCAAATTTTGAACTTTACTCGGCACTCAGGGCCATTGAGCAGTGAGGGATCTTTATCGTGCCAACGCCTGCCGCTGACACGGGGCCTCGGTTTTTAAGGTCTCTTCCGCAGGACCCGCAACTCTCACTTCATAGTGCTGAGCGCATGGCGAAGGAACAGTTGCTTCCCATTTTTTCGACTAGGTCAGTCGCGGTCGAGACACGAACTCCCGATCTCCCGATCATGGAGCGAGCGCTCTACCGACTGAGCTACCGTGAACGGTTCCTTGTTATAAGAAAGTAAATAAGATATCGCGTTTTTTTTTAAATCGTCGTTGAAGTTTCATGGAATTCGTGGAGGCCGTTTCTGAAAACTTGCATTCACAAAACTGGTAAGAAAAAAAATTGAAAAGAAAATTAAGAAACTTCCCTGAAGAAGAAAGACCTTAAAAAAAATCTATAAGGTATTTCGTCTGAAACGAAAGATCTTAATTAGAAGTAGTGGAGCTACAAGGTCTGCGTGAAGACAAGACCTTAAAAATAAAGAGTAAAATGACTATAAGGTCTTTCGACTGAACGAATAATAATTGAGTCTTAAGAGTTGACATGCCAATAAAATTGATTCTTTTATACTTAAATTTAAAACTCAAATTTTTCTCATATTTTTTCTTAATGCTGATAATCATCATCATAAAACTATCAAATGAGAAAAAAAAATAAACACCTATTTATGCAAGATTTCTGCAGAGAAAAAGATTAAATTACCAATAATATAACTCCTATCTTAAAATTTAATGTACACTAGGACTTCATAAAGAATAAATGGTATTAAAATACTTGCAAAGTGTCGTTTTCATTTAAACAGACGTTAGGTTACACCTACTGCTTGAACAGAGTTCCACTCCCAAATGAAAAGTGCATGCTATATTAAACCTTTATCACAGATTAGTCATCAGCTTATCTGTTATGTAATTTTCTGGAACATTTTTACAGGGCGAGCTGGTACGTGCAAATTTTTTTTCTGTTATATTCATTACTCTCATACATAAATATATACTAAATTTTAAATTAAACGAACGTAAAAAAAGAAACTGTGCATAGGTCAATTTAGCATAAAACTCCAAAAATATTGTGGATATTTATTAACGGTAAATAATCGATACATGTAATGATGTAAATGATATTATTATATCCCAATATGAATATTCTAAACAACGCGTTATCTGATTGGTTCTAAGTTATCTCGTGATTGGGCCGTAAAACTTCATATTTCCCGGCCATCGGCACGCTTTTCATCATATTCGACCTCTCTGGAAAACCTAGTGTATTTTCCCGCAATATAGTTCTCGTTCGTTGAACAAAAACTCCCGAGAGTAGTAGACGTCACAATAGCCTGGTTTACGTCACAAAATTGATGATAATGTGTTGACCAAAGGGTTTTATAGTAACTTTACGTAAAAAATGAAAGTGAATTTGAGAGCGGTGTCGAATTAGAAAGTTTATGTTTATTTCAAAAGTTTTGCTTGTTTCGGTATAATAAACAATTAATTGCAACTATCGAATGTAATTTTTTTGGCTGAATAAGTCTTCATAGGTCTTCATATTTCCCTCACTATTATGCAATAAATTTACAATATGCCTCAACTCGACTCTATTGCACGTACTTTTATTCTGTTCAAGCACGTTTTGTTTTTTGACCTAATCGTATTTTTGTGGTATCTCGAGCAATATTTTTTGGGTCAAACTGTGCGAGACATTTTTTCAAGACAGAGTTATTCAGAAAATCACTTTGGTATCAAAAGAATTTGTAATGTGCTATTCCAAGGGTAAAGGAAAATCGATATTATCATGTTATCGAAATGTTGAAGGTAGGTATGTCCCACGACGTTGTTGCATGACAATTTCGTGTCCAATGAAACACTATATATCGTTATAGAAACGTTTCCAACAATTTGGCAACACTTTAGTTCGACCACGTACAAGACGTCCTAGATGTAGATAATCTTATCCAACTCATGCATGTATGAAATATAATTCAGACAGTAAGTTGACTGATTGTATCATCCCTAATCTAACAGGCATAAGTGAAAGGACAGTAGGTGATCGTTTGCGTGAATCTAGACCTAGACGTACTGCGATACGTCCAGGACTGAGCAACATCAATGAACTGCTGGTTAAAGGCAGAGATTTTTTACCGGGTGGTAAATTCCAGGTGAGGGAGGGGCTTATTTTGTACAGGTGTGACTGGCTTGGGGGCTAGCAGTCTACCTGTGGTCATCTATCTCCTAATCCCTATACACAGGAAGTGATTTAATACACAGTGTAATACCCAGATGTTAAACTTTACCTATGTTTGGGATTTTGAGAAAATTTTAAAATTAGTAGTAAAAAGGTTTTTCAATTGTATATTTATTTATTTTTGATCGTTTAAGAACATCCCTACCCTGAAATTATTAGGATAACATACTATAAATTCAAATACTTTGAATTAAAGATTATTTTAAATGTTAGTGTATGTATTAATCTAAAAACAAATAACTCCTTTGACAACCAAATTAGACTTTAATAATTCATTCATCCCCTATGATCCCATCTTTATGTATTAATTAAATGAAAAAGAGCCGTGTTAACTACATTTTACTAAAAATTAATATCTAGGTTTTTCATTACCTTAATAAGGCGTTGTCACCATGAAACATGCTAAAAAAAAGATTGCTTGTAAATTCTTATCTGAATAAAAAAGGAAATATTAGTAACCCTTGATCAGAAGCATTATTTTTAAATTTAATTACTTCACACAGTGCTGCTCTGAACTTTATCAATAAATTTCTACTCTAGGTTTACTGTTAAGCATTTTAAAATTTATATCCAAATTTCATTTGAAAAAAAAGTTTGATTTACCAAAGTTTTTTTTTAAAATATAATGCATATTATATTATAATCCTTTCAAATACTAAAGATATATTTAATTCATACTTTATCAATCTAAAAAGTACATTATAATGCAGTTTCTGTATACCAAGTTCAGTAAACATCAAAGGATCAAAAGTTAATTAGAAGGTCACCACGAGTCCCAATCAAGGTGTACCGGGTATACGCAGGGACCAGTAAGTAACTGTCAATCAGGTTCCAGCATCTTCACACACTTGATTGACAGGGCTACCTAGACCAGGTATTTTTGAAGACGGTGCTTAAAATCTCTGCCTTTAAGCATGGTGTCAGTACATAATGTTCAAAGTTGGAATCAAAGTTTCTTTTTTCCGCTGGTATACATATGCAAGAATCCTTAATCATATAACTTACATTTTCTAATGAGAACAAATGTTGCAGCATTTCAAGTAATTCATATTAAGATATTTGTGTTTAAAAATGTACGAGTCGTTTAGTGTTTTTTTATTTATCCGAACCGATAAGTGCAAAATATGACACAAACGTAAGAAAACGTTAGAGAATTCTCGTGAAGATGTATTTAATTTAATTCATTCAGAAAAAAAAATAATCAATTTGATTTATGGCTATGCTGACTTGTCATGGGAATAAAAATTTTATTCTCTTTGTAGATCTAAAATATTGTAAATGTCAGTGTAAGCAACGATGATAGTTCATATTTTAGTGTAGATATAAATAATTCAAAGAATTGAGACATTTTTCACTCTCGCTATCTTGTATCGACCTATTTATCTACCGTTTTTATCCATTGAAAATCGAAGTTTATATTCAAGCTGAAAAAAAAAATACTCAAAATGTTAAAAAAAAGGTATTAAGGATGTAGAGTGAAGCCATTTTGATATTGTTTTGTCTATTTTTGGATCAGGTATAACCTCTGTTTTAAGGTCAGACGAGACGTTCCTCAAAATCTGTTTTGTATATCTTCGTAAAGTATGAAAAATATTAAAAATTTTAATAATAGTTTGATTTCTAAACCAGTTTCTAAACGTTTTAAAAAAATTCAAACACTAAAACATTTGAATTTGGGAAAATTTTTTTTCTTCCCCAAAGGATTATATAAGAAAATCTACCCCTGCTGTCTTGCAGAAATGCCTGGTAAGGTACCTCAATTTTTTGTGAGTAAACATGTTTAAGTAGCAATACTTCAATGACAAACTCTTAGAAAAATTTATCTATTATTGAGGAACGTCTCGTCTGTCCTTAATTTGCGTTAAAGATTAAATATTCTTTTCTATTATATTACAACATCGCATTGTAAACTAGTATTTTATATTTGTGTTTGTTTGATTGCTGTTAAACACCCG